ATCATACATCTGTGTGATTTTTTTTTTTTGTTAAAAATGGAGACGTAACACTGAGGAGTGTGATGGAGAGGCACCTTGGAGAATGGATAATTCCATTACAAGCTACATGGCATAGAGGATACTCAGTAAATAAGAGCTCAGACTTCATCACTGAATGATAAAGAATTGGTATGAAGCAAACATCCATCTGTTTTAATGAACACACTTATTCCCCTTTGAACAACAGAGGAGTGGATACATGCAATTACTATCTGGTTCAACATGTGAAAAATATTGTGGAGAGGAGACTCAGGGGGGACCTTATCACTCTCTACAACTGCCTGCAGGGAGGGTGCAGTCAGGTGGGGTTGGGCTCTTCTCCGGGCAACCAGTGACAGGACGAGAGGGCACGGCCTGAAACTGTGTCGGGGAGGTTTAGGTTGGATCTCAGGAAGCCCTTCCTCACGGAGAGGGTGCTCAGGCACTGGGATGCACTGCCCAGGGAAGTGGTGGAGTCACCGTCCCTGGAGGTGTTTAAGGAGAGGCTGGATGTGGCACTTAGTGCCATGGTCTGGCCGATGTGGTGGTGTTGGGTCATGGGCTGGACTCGATGATCTCAGAGGTCTTTTCTAGCCTCAACAATTCTGTGATTCTGTGGTGCCTCTGCTTGTTCCAGGACTTGAGTTGTGCATGCAGAAGGAGCAGTTTTCCTTTCAGCTCTTGGGTGAGGAGACAGGCCAAAAACTCAGTGTTGTTTCCAGTAAGGATAGAAAGTTAGGCCTGTGAATGTCATCAGGAAAAGCTGTAGTTATTGAACAATAATTGTGCTAGTGTTTAACTGTACAGGAGTTAGTGTATTAGTGATGAATACTTTTTATCCATTTGAAAAATATATTATGAATAGGAGGATATGTGAAAAAGGGCCTTGGTATCCATTGAACAGTAAGTTTGGTAAGTTTGAACATCACCTGTCAACTTTAAGAGAGTTTGAGCAAAGTGTTGAGGCATTTTTTCTATCATTTTTATCTTGCTGTGTGCTTATAACATTTTAAGTCTTTTGACTATAAAACTGAAGGATGGAAAAAAAAAAAAAGAGGTTTTTTCCACCTACTTACTTCATAGATTTCATTATGAAGGACTCGCTTAAAAAAGGAACAGTATAAATTGCCAGGGCAGGCTCTAGTTTTTCTCACCTATCACAAACATTCTGTCTCTGTAGAAAGTTCTTGGATTTGACTTAGATGGAAAAGCAGAGGCCATTATTGCCTTTCATAAGACTTTTAACAGTCACTTCCTACAGCAGTTTAACAGTCAGGAGGAGTAACATGCTCTTGAAAAAGAAGTTGATGCAAGTTCTCTCTGTAGTAGAGTCATAATCAACAAAGTAAACATAATTGTTTTAATTCTGCTGAGATTTATGCAAATAAAGGTACTACTGTTATTAATATTTAATGCTTTATTACCCTTAGATGTACTTGGCCAGTATGATTGCAGGGCTTAAACAGAACAGGTGAAAACTGTAGCTGGCACAGCATTCAGGAGTGTAGTCTTTTATATAAAATTTTCAAAATGGAGCCTCTTCTGGTTTTGTTTTTTTTCTTAAGCAGAAGAACTTTTGATGCTTTTACAGGCATCAGCTTCCGCAGAACATCCACTGTTATATTTGCCTGAAGAAGGGACTTTTTAACAAATAGATGGAGTGCAGCATAGTGACTCATAGTCATGTTTAGGTTTTAAAATGTGCAAGACAGATGAGCTTAAGATGAGGAGAGAGACTGGAACAGTGTGCAAAGCAAGTTGGGATACATCTCTGACAGGAAGTTGTGGATTGGTCTAGACAGCACTGATTTCAACTGAAACGAAGGTGAGCCAAATAGGAGTTCAAGTCAAAAATTGATTTCAGTTGAAATTACCGAATCTGTATGGAACATGTCAAGTTCTTTATGTCACAGTCCTTGAAAGACAGCTGTTTTCTAGATGTATGTTATGGTTCTCCCACTTTGTTTCATTCATGTGGATTTTGTGGTTCTCTATGTGTTTTCATAAATGTCCTACCTGACCTAAGCCTACTGAGGTCTCACTGGTTACTGAGAGGTTCAGTCCATGCCAACTCCGTCATGGGGGCCATAGTACCTGCACTGCCAGTCAAAATGGATAGTTAATCATAAAAAAAAAAATAATACAACCAAAGAAGTCCCCATAGGATTGGTTTTCAATCAGATCACTTTTCTGACAGAGTGGGGCTAACAGAAACGTGCTTGTCAGATGTAAGGTGAATTTAGATCTCTTACACTCAGTATAAACTGCGTCGTTTAAGCTAATTTTCCTGTGCTGTCTTAAAACAGATAAAGTCAGAAGCTGTAGCACATATGTAGGATGAAGTACCTTTGCTTGTTTCATACAAGTGTTAATCCTGAGAAGCAGTCCAGAGTTCAAATAAGTCATTTCAGTAGAAGGAGGCAAGAGTGGGAGACAACTTGCAGGCAATCTGTTCAAATGAAAATTTATCATTGCTGCACAAGCTGCTTACAGAGCTTGCCTGTTTCCCAGGAAGGCCATTTCACCTATCTTTCCCAGATTAGGCTTGAGCTGAGATGTTCTTACTGGCTCAGCAAAATCTTAAGCCGAGGCCAGCACTGCCAGTGGTGCAGAACATGTTAATTATGTAGTACTTTGTGGTGTGGATCACTGCCTGCCAAAGATCAGTAACAAAGACCAGGGTATGCATTTCAATTGGCAGACCGTGCTCTCTGAAGAAGAGTTTTTTTCCTCTCTATTCTTTTTTCAGCCTAGCAATCTGGAGATGGTGCTTCATTTTAGATGTGGGGGTTTTTTTTGTCTCTAGAAAAAGTAGAAGAGCTGAGAAAATAGCTCTTCACTGAAGATAAGGATCTAAAATTATCTTTAGATAAACAATTGTGTACTTCTTGTCTTTACAGATGCTTTTGACAACAAATGAAAACCAATTTTTAAGGTTCCCTTGTCTAGCATCAAGTAAAGATAAAGCAATTTACAGCTTCATAACACTTGCACAAAAAATGAAAACAGTCCTACAGCATGAGTGTTTTGGGCATAGCTTACGTAAAGTTCATGCGAGCATATCTATGTAATAGTATTTAACAGTATAATTAGATGTGGATGGAGAGAGGACAAAATCTGCATATCAGAGGCTAATGGTTGTTCTTTCTGTCTGTGACTTGAATAACTGTCACTGACTGTTCAGCCTTCATTTTTGTTGATGAAGGCTTTTGCAAAATCGTGAAATGGCATGCCCTCAGTGTCAGTGAGCGACAGCTTGCATTAAACTGGTAGTTTTGATGTAGCATTCATTGATTTCTCTAAGATTGAATGTTGAGGATGACAAACAAATATGGTTAAAAATGCCACAGCTATGAATGTGCTTGTTTATCTCATCCCTCTTGTGCTTCCTCAGGCATCAAGATCTGGCATTATGAGCTTTTGTAGGGAGACACTTCCAATTCTGTTATTTGGCTGCTGTGGCAACTACATGCTTCTTGGTTTTCTTTCTTGTCTTTAGGAGTAGTATCTCTGCTGTATATTGTGAAGTCTTAGGTTAGCAGATGGAAAAGAAGTATTAGATAAATGCATATATGATTAGAAATTCTGAGCGTGAACTGTCCTGTATCTGTTTTTACATCTTCCTCTGGAGCCTGGAATTGAATGTTTTCTCTGCTTCCAGGAAATGTGTCCACCAAGATCTGTGTTCAGGAATATTTCTCTTACTCAAAGTATTATGTTCCCCATGTAATCTAAGCCTAATTAGCGTATTACTTCAGACCGTTTTTTCAGGTCTGAGGTGAATGGACTTACTCTTTTTTCCTCTAGACTCCATTCCCAGCTGACCAGCTGGGCAGCCTAGAAATATTTCTGTGTTGCCCACATCAAAAATCAGGAAACTGGTTTTCAAGATACTGCTTCTTTTATTGTTTTTTTTAACCACTGTCTGAGTTACTTCAGCTGTATTACTCATGTGAGTCACCCTTTTAGTGTATTGCCGTGTGTGTCATGCAAATAATGAAGTTATGTCAAACATGAAACATTTTTAATAATTTGTCTTTTTTGATGGTTGCAAAGTCGTTCCTGTGCTTTCACTTTATTTGGACCTTTGGACTTCCCTGATGAATAAGTATTTTCATTTCGAATGTGAGAAGGCTGACGTCTTAGCAAATCGGCATGAAGTGAAGGACATAGGTTGTTGTTAACAATATACAGTAACTTAGTTCTTGGAAGCTTTGATTTGAGCAGGAAAATGAATAAATCAGACAATAAATATGAGCCTGATTGTGAAGCATGAAAGGTTCGGAAGATCGTGCAACATTGTAATGCACTGATCTTTCTCCTGTAAAGTCATAATTTTTAAGTTCTGATTACGCACCCAAATAAAAAACAAATTTACTGTGTGATTCTATTCCTTCAAATGCTTCTGCAGTTCACAAAAACAAGTAGATAGTTTTGAATAATTCAGTGTGCTCGGGAATATCTGTTTCAAGACAGGACCCCTTAGCACGTTAGGGTTGACCTACGTAGGCAGAAGGGCTGGAGACCCATGATTGGCTTTGCCTGTGCCTTGTGCTTTGTTCAGACTTCTCCTGTTAATCTCTCATTTTTCTGTGCAGTCAGCTTATACAACATATAGTCATATAAATTTATGTGTTCCCTGCATTTTTTCTTCCTACTTAAAGCTCTGTCTTTTGACTTCACGAAGAGAGAGCCAATCACCTCAAGCCTCTGGTTTTTTGAGGGGATCAAGTGTTTTGCTAAAAAGACTGATGTGAAAAGAAACAGCATTCTCCCTCTAGCAATTGTCCTTAATTTTTGAGGCTTTCTTGTATTTTTAGAGTGTGCTTTAAAGAGGATGTATTATCCCACTAATACTACTCACAGGCACCTGAGAAAACAATACTGATAGCATTTCATAACACTATAACTTTTGTTGAATTTCTGAGTGTATTATTTGAACTGATCACAGAAAAAACCCTTCTAATAAACTCTTCCCACAGAAACTGAAACAGAAGAATCAGCAGCTGAAGCAGATCATGGATCAGTTACGGAATCTTATCTGGGACATAAATGCCATGCTGGCAATGCGGAACTGAACAAAGAAGATCAAACTTTGTAATAGGAAGAGATACAGATTTGTTTGGATATACTTAATTTCTTTCTAACGTGTTTTCCCATAACCATATTGCAATAATGTTTGAAAAGGCATCGAGATTAAAATGTTGGGATTTTGTAATAACTTAAATGATGTTGGTGTTGTTATTTATAAAAAATATTTTCTACAGGTTTTACCTGAGTGAGTCACTTAGACCAAATATAATACAGCCTGAGTAACTTACAGTCATTGAATTGCTATGCTAATGAAGGTTTTTATAAATGAAGTATTTCTGGATTATTATTTTCTTATATATAATAAAAAATACGTAATAAAATTAACACTGTTTTAAAAACAGATATTTGCATGCCATTCTGCAGCAAACCACCTCTACAGACAAGAAAAGTTGCATTAGAGAAAAGTCACTCTAGCAAGCTGACAGGACCAGAATCAGGGATCACATATTACAATGCAGTGTTTCCCCACTGTGGGAACGTGTGCTACAGGCTCCTGTGCCGTGTAAGTTCATCTTAGTCCGTACACTGTCACTGGATACGTGTTATTCTAGGTAAATTGGAGTAAAATTCAGAAGCTACATAAATTACCCCTATATCCTCATGGATATAACTAAGTCTTTTTAAGTGAAGACTACATACGTGTTTCCTCAGCATTAACTTCTGCTTTAACTATGTGTTACCATTTCTTGAGTACTGCTCCAGCTATTGTATGGTGTGGTATCATTGTAGCATTATGTATGGTTGGAATATTTTTATTTTGTTTAACAGAGTGCACTGAATACCCTGTGATTGCCAGTCCTAGAAAACTTTGGAGTATATGAGCAGTTCATTATTTTGAGTTAATCATTACCCTTCATCTTTCTTTGTTCTGCCTCTGGTATTCCTCACAATTTTCATTAGCCCTGAAAATAGTCTTAATAATTATTTTTTTAATCCACAGATGCTGCCTATATGTCTTTTTCCAGGTGAAAGAATATATAAAATAACACGTTTCAGTACAAATCTGTAGGGCACTCTACTGGTAATATATGTCAAGTTGAAAACTGACCATCCTCATGATTTGTTTCTTGTGTATTGCTTTTAACTCTCATTCTGTGCCCAGTCAGATTCTGTGACAGTTTTTTGTGAAAGATCTGCTGAGAACCTTCTGAAGAGTCCAGTTAAATGGTATCCTTTTAAAGGATACCCTTTTTATGTGTGATTGATTTGAAATACATCATTTTAAAAATACTATATTAGTTTGTGGTTCTGTCAGCCTTTTTTTATGTTGTTTTTCAATATTTTCAACTCATCTACTCCTTGAGGTAAAAACCACTGGTGTGTTAATTGATCTCATCACACAGGGTTAACAATATATGACTTTTCCCTGCAATTAAGTACAACACAATTGGGTTTTATTCCTCTTTTTGAAGGTTTTAAACCTTAACAGATGAACAGATGCCCGGTCTTATAATTGCAAATAAACAGTTAGAAAATGTTCCTTTTGATTAGTTTACTCGGTGCTGAAAGTGATATATAACTATGACCATACCTAGATCTAAGGAGATGCCAAAACACCTTACAAATGAGGTTGCTCTCTTTTCTCCCATTTTAAAAATGGAAGAGTGGAGAGCTTACTCAGGGGCAAAGCTAGCAGCAGAGCTGTTTGTTTTGCATTTAAATTAACCCCAGTGGCAGACTTGCTGGTCAGAAATGTGGTTGATTTCTGCAGCTGCGAGAGACCTTAACTATTTTATATACAAAGCTTTTGGAAAGAAGGTGAAGGTTGCAAGTAGGGATTTTATTCCAGTTTGTTTAAAACGCAGGTATCTTTTTGTATGTGCAAGGTATAGAGTCGGCTTTCTGTTTAGCGTGTGTGTAAGCTTGCCTCTAACCTTGAAGTGGATTTTGAAATGACCCTAACATCTTAGTTGTGAGGGTAAAATTCTCAGTACTTAGTGTTTCATTCTGATTTTGGAACAGATACGGAAAATGGAGATTAGTCTAGACTTTGCTCTACTGCCTTCGTACTATCCTACCAAATGTCTTTAGAGTTTGTTGACTTTTTAAATAGCATGTAAACAGTGCCAAAGTAACCTAAAACATGAGTATGACTGCAAGAATGGTAAGTAGATGCCTGGCCCATATAATATTCAGCTTGCTCTGTGCAGCTGTTAGCAGTAGCCAAAGTTTATACTACTATTTTCATCTGCAAGAGAGGAGAAAACACTTTAAACCACCACCAGAATGGATAGTGCTGTAGCTAAATTGCAAAGTGCAGAAGTTGACAGAATTGTAAATTATCACAGTAAATACTGTCAAAACAGGAACTTCCAAAGGTGTTGGACCAAAACCATAGACTTTGACTTACACAGATGAAAGTAAGGGTAGTGAACATAATTCATGTGCTACCAGACCCACAAATAAGTGAAGGATTTGGCCAAGAAGGTGACAGTTTCAAGAAAAGTGGCAATTCCTCAGCTGTGAAGCACTTTTAAAGAAATTACTGAGCACATGTTGATGCCTAAATTTAATATTTCAGCTGACACTAACAGAACTCTAACTGCTGGTTGATGAAATGGAACCAAAGTATTTAGTATTATTATATTAGCAGTATTTAGTTTAGAAGTATTTACAAATACCACCAAAGCAATACCAACACAGATGTTGCGATGTTTTGTTTATATATCATTGGCTAGTTCTGTATTTCTGATTAGGCAGAAACTGGATAAATGTACAGGCAATCCCAGGAGCAGACAGGAGAACCTAGAATGGTTCCATTTTTGGAATATAAAAAATTGGAAAGTCTTGGGGTTCTTAGGGCTCTCTTTTGCCCGGAGAGGACTTGGAGCAGTGGAGCTAGGATGCTAAACTTCATAGCATGTTTGTGGGAGCACCTCCAGTTAACTCACAAAATGAAAACATTAATTCAAGACCTTTGAGGATAATGTATCAGATACTGAATGTTCGGTTCAGTGTCACAACACGGAAGATGCCTGCCTAGGCAGCGTGCAAAGGCCCAAGCCTTTTCTTGCGTGAAAGGACAGGAGTGTGGAGCAGATTTATGCCACATTTGGGGAAAATGCAAAGAGCTTACCTTCTCTCTTGTCTTCCATAGAGGCAGCAAGACCACATCCAGAGTGTTCTAATAAACCACGATCGTTTTTGTTGTCCTCTGAGAAAAAAACTCCTCTGACTATATTATTTCTTACTGATGGAGAAATTGGAACTTGTGCACAAGGGCTATTTAAATTAATCCCTGTAACGATGGATCTAGGTGGAGTAGGACAAGAATTCTGGTCTCATAGGAACCAAGATTTCATCAGTGCGCCAGATGGCTGCACAAGCCAAAAAAACTAGAGCTGAAGAATGACTGACAACTGCTGCAGAAAACATTAAGCTCTGGATGTAGATTTGATGATCTGAAGTTAAGAAAAAGCATTAAAAAATGATGCAGTGACACCCAAGGACACCATGAGTCAACTGAGGTTTACAGAGGAGGGATTAGTTTAATTGCTTTGTGCTAACAAAGCAAATGGGGAATTATAAAGGAATCTACAAATCTATCAGTAGAAATATTTGGGGAAGAAAGTGTGTCGTTTGCTCACTCTCCTTATGTAACAGTAGTGAAGACTGATCTGGTAGAGCATCGAGGCTTTAAAAGAGAAGCATTTTTTGCTGAGTTGGAAGGTTACTCTATACCTAAAAGTAAGAAGGTGGCTAAATATTGCAAGATATTAATAGGCATGACAAAAAATACGTACCAATGCCATTTTTTATTTAAGAAAATGTAATGGATAGCTGGAATGTAAGAGGTAAATGTAATGGATAGCTGGAATGTAAGAGGTAAATAAATGCAATATAGTGAAACTTATGTCTTGTTAAATCTGACTTCTATGTAAATTTTAAGGATTTTTTTTGCATCGCGTAAGAGACTTGTTCTGGTATCTGTTAACACTTGTTATGATATCTGTTTTGCAACAGATAACACTACTGAAAGCTGGGAACAGTGTCTGTGTTGATGTGGATGTAGTCCAAAGAAGAGTATATGTTTTGCACTGCTTCTCACTGGACTGGGCCCAGTAAAGACCACAAGCATATTTGAGGCAAATAAGCAGAGGCATATTCTCCTGTGTCCACTGAGTTCTGGGAGCATCTCAGCTCCTATGTCTTCATGTTCAACTTGCAAGCTACCTAATTGCTTGGAGTTCTGCTTCTGCACATGTTCCCAGCACCTGATAATCACTGCTGAAGTTGTATAAACTCCTGATTTTTCTGCCCAGATTCCGTAGGAGGCCTGATGTGCAAGGTCCTCTGTGGCCCCTTGTGCTTTCTTTCCCTTCTCAGCTGACTGCTCCCACCAGAAAGCTTCAGAGCTGCATTCTGGAGCAGTTGAAAACAAGTGGCTGAAAGTAATGAATTACATACACATCTGTGATAAAATCCTTTCCTAGGTACGTGTGTGTTTTCTTATTAAATCTTACTTGAAAAATAAATTCAAATTTGCCTAAATAGGAAGAACGACATGTGATTTTAAAGTTGTCTGAGTAGCAATGGATAGCAATGCAGTTGTTTCTATAGCCACATAGAGATTTTAGTGGTATTTAAGCCCTGGAGAGGGAGGAGGAGAGTCATGAAGGCAGTTGGAAATATATTGTTGAAGTGGGAAGACTTTCAAACAATAAGGGGAAAATATAAAGAAATATACCAACAACAGTCAAAACTTAGGTGAGCATGAACTGAACATAAAATAGAGGCAAGAAAAGAGGATTTGGGAAAACACATTTTAAACCTGTGTTAAAGAGATAATTTGGATACAGCAAGAGAAATAAAGCCACTGCAGTTTTGGCATGTATGACCAAATATTGCGTAGTAGGAAGTGTGAGAGCTCTTCCTCTGAGACCAGTAATTCTGATACAGTAATTCTGCATGAAATGCTGCATTCGTATTGTGGTCAGCATGTTACTAACACAGTGAAGGAGAAGCACACTGGTGTGTTACCCTATGAATGTTCATTAGAATAACTTGTGAAAGCAAAGATGAGGCTCAAATGTAGAAATTCTTCA